TTTGTGACACGGGCGCCTTCCAGGGCCCTTTGTGACACGGCCATGGGGGTGCCCGGAGACCCTTGTGACATCCCAGCCCCTGCCCTGCCCGCGGGTGTTGGAGGGGCAACAGAGCCCTGGGGTGCCCACAACCAGGAGAGCCCCTCTGCAAGGAGGCAGCAGCTGCCTGGGTCCCTCTGTAGCAGAGGATAACGGAGATGGATGAGGACAAAAGGAACCCCAAATCCCAGCCCCCCAGCCCCTTGCCCAGCTGGCTGGAAGACGAGTCACTCGGTGAGCAGTGGCTGGGGGCAGTGGGCGAGTCAGACCTCCCACTGTCAGAGACGGAGGAGGGGTCCTTTGGCCACGGCGATGCCGACTGGAATGACGACACCGATGGAGACCTTTCCCAGTATGGAGATGTTACCGAATGGGAAGAAGAGGAGACTGAAGATGAGACAGAAGATGAGACACTCTACGAAGAACTCTACCAATGGGAAGAAGTGAGAGTTCAAGAATGCTCCCAACAGGGAGCCAGGAGACCCCAAGAAAAAGAAGACGATGACTCCCAGTTTGAAGAAGACATGAGAATCCGAGAACTTTCCCAGTGGCGTGAGGGGAGACAGCCAGAGCTGTACCAATGGGAAGAAAGTGTGAGACGCCAGGAACTGCACGAATGGGAAGAAGGTGGTGTGAGATACCACGAGCTGACCCAATGGGAAGAACGTGTGACAATCCGAGAGCTGCCCCAAAAGGAACAAGAAGAGACAGATCAAGAACTTTCCCAATTTGAAGATCTGGGAGTCCAAGAGCTGTCCCAGCAGGAAGGTCCGAGATCCCATGACCTGCCTCAGCAGGAAGAAGATGTGGGAGTCCATGGACTGTACAAGGACAAGAGAGATCCAGAGCTCTCCCAAGTGGGAGACGAGACAGACAAGGAGCAAGCCCAGGAAGAAGAGTACAGGGCCCAAGAGCTGCCCCCAAGGGCAGACGTGAGTGACCAAAAGCTGTCTCAGGGGGGAGCTGATGTGGGTTCCAGCATCTGGGACAAACCCTTGAGCCCGATGAGTGCTGGGGACCCCCAGGCTGTTCCCCAGGAGGGGCCCAGCTCTGCCAGCAGCGTGGGCACACAGGTGGCAGCAGAGGCAGCCCGTGAGCTGCCCAGCCCAGCTCCTGCCCCGCTGAGTCCCACGGAGGCCGAGCCGGCAGCTGCTGCCCCGGCCGGAGCTGCTGAGGAGGAGGAGCCCCAGGGGCCTGTGGCTCCTGAGGAGCCAAAGGCAGAAGGTTCTGCAGCCTCTGGGGAGCTGGTGCCATCAGCAGGGACACAGAGCCCTGTGCCTGCCCCACAGAGCCCCTCAGAGGGCAGCCAGGCCCTCCTGGACACAGAGCAGCAAATCCCCACTGAGATCCTGAGCGAGGCTGAGCTTGTGATCCAGGGATCTGAGCAGCAGCTGATGGAACAGGGAGATGTGGAACAAAGCCCAGATGCAGAAATGCAAGAAACAGCAACACGGACTGAGAGCGCAGTCCTTGCCCCACAGAGCCCCTCAGAGGGGAGCAAGGCCGTGCTGGACATACCCGAGCCCATCAGCACTGAGATCCTGAGCGAGACTGAGCCTGTGATTCCATCTGAGCAACAGGTGATGGAACAGGGAGACGAGGAACAAAGCAGGGCTGCAGAAATGCAAGGAACACCAACAGGGACAGAGAGCCCGGTCCCTGCCCCACAGAGCCCCTCAGAGGGCAGCCAGACCCTGCTGGACACAGAGCAGCAAATCCCCACTGAGACCCTGTGCAAGGCTGAGGTTGAGATCCAGGGATCTGAGCAGCAGCTGGAGGAGCAGGGAGATGTGGAACAAAGCACAGACACAGAAATGCAAGAAGCAGGAGGGACAGAGAGCCCTGTGCCTGCCCCACAGAGCCCCTCAGAGGGCAGCCAGGCTGTGCTGGACATGGCTGAGCTCATCACCACTGACATCCTGAGGAAGGCTGAGCTTGATATCCAGGGATCTGAGGAGCAGCTGATGGAACAGGGAGACCAAGAACAAAGCCCAGATGCAGAAATGCAAGAAACAGCAGGAGGGACAGAGAGCCCGGTCCCTGCTCTGCAGAGCCCCTCAGAGGGCAGCCAGGCCCTGGACATTCCCAAGTTCCTGGACATACCTGAGATCATCACCACTGAGATGAGCAAGACTGAGCCTGTGGTCCAGGGATCTGAGCAGGAGCTGATGGAACAGGGAGACCAGGAACAAACCAGGGCTGCAGAAATGCAAATAACACCAACAGGGACAGAGAGCCCGGTCCCTGCCCCACAGAGCCCCTCAGAGGGCAGCCAGGCCGTGCTGGACATGGCCGAGCTCATCACCACTGACATCCTGAGGAAGGCTGAGCTTGAGATGCAGGGATCCAGCCAGGAGCTGGAGGAACAGGGAGAGCTGGAACAAAGCACAGCTGCAGACGTGGAAACAGTTCCAGCAGAAGAAAGCAGAGAGAGCCTGGTGTCTGCCCCACACAGCCCCTGCTCCACTGCCAGCCCCTTGGCTTCCAGCCTGGAAGTCCTGGTGGCCAGTGAGCAGCAGGAGGACACAGAGGGGAGGTCATTGCTGTCACTGCTGTCTGTGCAAGAGACTGAGGAGGGGACCTCGGCTGGGGAGGAGGAGTGGAAATCATGCCCTGAGCAAGGGGAAGAGGTCAGAGAGCCAGAGCTGTCCCCGTGGGAAGAGGACATCCCCTCCAATCTCTCTGAGGAGACCTTGGGCCCAGGGAAGCAGGAGGACCCCCAGGCTGTTCCCCAGGAGGGGCCCAGCTCTGCCAGCAGCGTGGGCACACAGGTGGCAGCAGAGGCAGCCCATGAGCTGCCCAGCCCAGCTCCTGCCCCGCTGAGTCCCACGGAGGCCGAGCCGGCAGCTGCTGCCCCGGCCGGAGCTGCTGAGGAGGAGGAGCCCCAGGGGCCTCTGGCTCCTGAGGAGCCAAAGGCAGAAGGTTCTGCAGCCTCTGGGGAGCTGGTGCCATCAGCAGGGACACAGAGCCCGGTGCCTGCCCCACAGAGCCCCTCAGAGGGCAGCCAGGCCCTGCTGGACATGGCCGAGCTCATCTCTAATGAGATCCTGAGCCAGGTTGAGCTTGATATCCAGGGATCTGAGCAGCAGCTGATGGGAGACCTGGAACAAAGCCCAGCTGCAGAAATGCAAGAAGCAGCAGGAGGGACTGAGAACCCAGTCCCTGCCCCACAGAGCCCCTCAGAGGGCAGCCAGACCATGCTGGACACAGAGCAGCAAATCCCCACTGAAATCCTGAGCGAGACTGAGGTTGATATCCAGGGATCTGAACAGCAGCTGGAAAAACAGGGAGACCTGGAACAAAGCACAGACACAGACACAGGAATAGCAATTACAGCAGACAGGGAAGGGAGCCCGGTCCCTGCCCCACAGAGCCCCTGCAGCCCCCCCAGCTCCTCAGCTGCCAGCCTGGAAGGCCAGGCTCTCAGGGAGCAGCAGGAGGAGGCAGAGAGGGGGTCATTCCTGTCAGGGCAAGGCACCGAGGAGGGGGCCTTGGCTGGGGAGGGCCAGGACTGGAAATACTATGTTGACCAGGAGATTTCCCAGAGGGAGGATGAGGGAGACCAAGAGCTGTCCCCAGAAGAAAGGAAAACTTCCCAAGAAGTGTGCCAAGGGGAAGAGCGCAGGGAGCAGGAGCTGTCCCCTGGAGCAGGCAAGAGCTCCCAGGAAGTGTCCGACTGGGACGAAGACAGCGAGGAAGAGGAGCCCCAAGGAGAAGGGAAGAGCTACCAGGAAGTGTCTGACTGGGAAGAAAACCTCAAGCAAGAGCAGCCCCAGGGAGAATCCAAGAGATGCCAAGAAGTGTCCGACTGGGAAGAATACATGGAGGAAGAGCAGTCCCCAGCAGAAGTGAAGAGCTACCGGGAAGTGTCGGACTGGGAAGAAAACCTGGAGCAAGAGCAGTGGCAAGAAGAGAAGAAGCACGAAGAACTGGCTGACTGGGAAGAGCTGTCTGACAGCACAGGAGAGCTGTCCCACGGAGAAGTGAAGATCTCCCAAGGACCGTCCAAGCAGGAGGAATCCAGCGAGGAAGAACAGTCCCAGGGAAAAGGCAGCAGCTCCCAAGAGCTGCCCAAGTGGGAAGAATCCAGCGAGGAAGCGCAATCCCCAGGGAATGGCAGTGGCTACCCAGAACTGACCGAGTCGGGAGGATCCAGCATGGAAGGGCACTTCCAAAGGAAATTCAGTGCCTACCAAGAACTCCTGTCTGACTGGGAAGACTCCATTGCCCAAGAGCTGTCCGAGGACGAAGACTCCTTTGTCCAAGAGTTTTCCGACTGGGGAGAGTACAGACCCTCCATGGTGTCCTGCTGGGAAGACGACAGCGACAGGGAGCTGGCACTGCTGGACTGGGAACACATGACCGTCCAGAGCGTGGAGGTCAAGCCCTTGCGGCCGGAGGAGGACGAGTGGGAAGAGCTGAGCGTGCTGGAGCTGTCCCAGGGAGAAGGCACGGAACACAGGCTGGCAATCCTTGCGGCAGAGGGGCTGCCGGTGCCCGTCCCTCGCGAGGCGTGGGCTGAGCGCCCAGCGGGGCCGGTCTGTGCCTCCCCTGCCCAGCTGGAGGCCCAGGCCCCCCGAGGGGCTGCAGCTCCTCCTGCCTCGCACGAGCAGGTGGCACAGGCAGGGACACGGA